GGGGGTGTTCAAGAACGGCCGCGTGGAGATCATCGCCAACGATCAGGGCAACCGCATCACGCCGTCTTACGTGGCCTTCACTCCCGAAGGGGAGCGTCTGATCGGCGATGCAGCCAAGAACCAACTCACCTCCAATCCTGAGAACACGGTCTTCGACGCCAAGCGGCTCATCGGTCGTACGTGGAACGACCCGTCTGTGCAGCAGGACATCAAGTTCTTGCCTTTCAAGGTGCGACCGGGGTTTTCTCACGAGAGAAATTGGGTAGTGCTGGTTGAAGTATTTAGAAGTAAGAAGTTATTGAAGGACAGTGTAGAGACCACCAAAAAGGATACAGACGTGGTGTCTATATAATAAGGTTTATTTAATGCTGTTAGTGCGTTACAGAACTTAAGACATTTAAGGATGGCAAAGGAATTTCACACATAACTACTCTGTCCACAATAGTTTAGAATTAAGAGACTGATGAAAACTGAAGAGGTTTGTAATTGTAAGGGACCTGTACTCCTTGAGTATTTCTGCTCAGTATTCAGCTCCAAAGACCAAAGTAAGCCAAACTATATGGGAGGAAATGGGTCTCAGACAATCCTCTTTTAAAGTTTGAGATGTCATTGCTAGTATGTCTGAAAATAGTTATTCTTTAAAATAGGTGGTTGAAAAGAAAACTAAACCATACATTCAAGTTGATATTGGAGGTGGACAAACAAAGACATTTGCTCCTGAAGAAATTTCTGCCATGGTTCTCACTAAAATGAAGGAAACTGCTGAGGCTTATTTGGGAAAGAAGGTAAGTATTTCTAGAACGAGGTAAAGAAGTTTTATTATTACTATTCTGGATTGATTGTGATATATAGATGCCTTCATCGTTTTAATAAATTGAAACTGAATGACATCCATGTGTATCAGTTTTAGTTACTTGTGTGCTTTTCTGAAGGCTAAACAAAATACTAGGGACTTTTTATGTGTATATTACTCAATGCTTGCAAATTCATGGGTTTGAAATTATATATTATACTCACCTTAAAAATAAGCTGGCTTACAAACTAAAGTGATGGTTTGACTTAAATAAGGGTTAAACCGTGTGATAAAATACATTTAATTACCTTTTCTTATTTTTTTAGGTTACTCATGCAGTTGTTACTGTACCTGCCTATTTCAATGATGCCCAACGCCAGGCAACCAAAGACGCTGGAACTATTGCTGGATTGAATGTTATGAGGATCATCAATGAGCCGTAAGTGTTAAATTCAAAAGTTTTTGGCATATTTGCCAAATGGGGAAATGTGAACTTAACTAAACTTTTTTCTTCTTTCTCATCCTTTTAACAGTACAGCAGCTGCTATTGCTTATGGCCTGGATAAGAGGGAAGGGGAAAAGAACATCCTGGTGTTTGACCTGGGTGGTGGAACCTTCGATGTGTCTCTTCTCACCATTGATAATGGTGTCTTTGAAGTCGTGGCCACTAATGGAGATACTCATCTGGGTGGAGAAGACTTTGACCAGCGTGTCATGGAGCACTTCATCAAGCTTTACAAAAAAAAGACTGGCAAAGATGTGCGGAAAGACAACAGAGCTGTGCAGAAACTCCGGCGTGAGGTAGAGAAGGCGAAACGGGCCCTGTCTTCTCAACATCAAGCACGAATCGAAATTGAGTCCTTCTATGAAGGAGAGGACTTCTCTGAGACCCTGACTCGGGCCAAATTTGAAGAGCTAAACATGGTATGGTTTTTGTTTTTTGCCTTGCTAAATCTCTGAGTTTGGGACAATGCATTTAGGTATTTCGACTCTATCTGGGTGTGACAGGCATCATCACAATAATTGTGTTTCTTATTCTAGGACCTGTTCCGTTCTACCATGAAGCCTGTCCAGAAAGTGCTGGAAGATTCTGATTTAAAGAAGTCTGATATTGATGAAATTGTTCTTGTTGGTGGCTCTACTCGAATCCCAAAGATTCAACAACTGGTTAAAGAGTTCTTCAATGGCAAGGAGCCGTCCCGTGGCATTAACCCAGATGAGGCTGTTGCTTATGGTGCTGCTGTCCAGGCTGGTGTACTCTCTGGTGACCAAGATACAGGTCAGTCAGTGTCACAGCATCTTCCACAGTGCTTCAGTAGCTTGATGGGAAGAGTATGATTAGCTGTTGCTTTAGAAAGCAATAGAATATGAGCAATGAGGGCACACAGCTAGTAAAGGATACAGTGAGGACAAGACCTGGCACAGTCTCAAGATCCTTTAACAACTGTGTTTAATTGACTGCTTCTAATTGGTTTTGCATAGAACCTAACCAAATGGCAAGATGAAGATCAAGTTACACTGTTCATGGGGAGACTGGTATTGCTGCTATGACTCCTGAATTAGAACTTACCTTGATTAACTTACCTTTGTAGGTGATCTGGTACTGCTTGACGTGTGTCCCCTTACACTTGGTATTGAAACCGTGGGAGGTGTCATGACCAAACTGATTCCAAGGAACACTGTGGTGCCCACCAAGAAGTCTCAGATCTTTTCTACAGCATCTGATAATCAGCCGACTGTTACCATCAAGGTCTATGAAGGTAATTGCTTACATTTGTTAATAACATAGTATGTAGTTGAAGAGCATGACTTCTTTTAACACACTCTTAAAATGATTAGGGAAAGAAATACCTGCTGTTTTCAGGTAGGGTTCCCTAATTTAACTAGTGTTGAGTTTGGTAGAGCTAGTATTAAAATCAGTTTCTTACTTAGCTATCTAGCTCTCTTTCCCGTTAAAAATATGTTCTGAACTGGCTCCTGGAATATAAGAACAAGAAAAGATATCATACTGCTGTAGAGTACCTGGTAACTTAACTCACTGCCCCCTAAAGACCCAGTACTGACCCACCTCTAGCCGATAGAGTGCCCTTGCCACTACAGGCTCTAACAGACTGAAACGTAGGGATCTAGATGTACTAATGTTTGTCAGTAACAACTCAACAAGTCTTTTTGTGTATGACTTCTAGGTGAACGACCCCTGACGAAAGACAATCACCTTCTGGGAACTTTTGATCTGACTGGAATTCCTCCTGCTCCCCGTGGGGTCCCACAGATCGAAGTCACCTTTGAGATAGATGTGAATGGCATTCTTCGAGTGACAGCTGAAGACAAAGGTACAGGCAACAAAAATAAGATCACGATTACCAATGACCAAAATCGCCTGACGCCTGAAGAAATTGAAAGGATGGTTAATGATGCTGAGAAGTTTGCTGAGGAAGACAAGAAGCTCAAGGAGCGCATTGACACCAGAAATGAATTGGAAAGCTATGCCTACTCTCTAAAAAATCAGATTGGCGATAAAGAAAAGCTGGGAGGTAAACTTTCCTCCGAAGATAAGGAGACCATGGAAAAAGCCGTGGAGGAAAAGATTGAGTGGTTAGAAAGTCACCAAGATGCTGACATTGAAGATTTCAAAGCTAAAAAGAAGGAGCTAGAAGAAATTGTTCAGCCAATTATCAGCAAACTCTATGGAAGTGCAGGCCCTCCCCCAACTGGTGATGAGGAACCAGCAGACAAAGATGAGTTGTAACGCTGCTCTGCTAGTGCTGTAATATTGTAAATACTGGACTCAGGAACTTTCGTTAGGAGAAAATTGAGAGAACTTATGTCTCGAATGTAATTGGAATCTTCACCTTGGAGTGGAGTTGAAAATGCTATAGCCCAAGTGGCTGTTTACTGCTTTTCATTAGCAGTTGCTCACATGTCTTGGGGTGGGGGGAGAGGAGGAATTGGCTATCATCAAAATGGGTGAAAAAGCTGGGTTAGGGCGTGTGTTCACCTTGAAAATGTTCTATTTAACAATTGGGTCATGTGCATCTGGTGTAGGAACTTTTTTCTACCATAAGTGACACCAATAAATGTTTGTTATTTACACTGGTCTAATTTTTGTGATATGCTTCTAATTAGCTCAGTCACTTATTCTGTTGGAAGTGTTTTGAGGTAAGGAAACATTTTTATTCAGTCATTTCAGGAAAACTGTCTAACTTAATCTAATTTAAGAAAAGGAGTGGGAGGTTCATCTATATCCTTAACTAGGCAAGGGCCAGTTCACAATGCCCGAAGGTGGAGTTTTCCTGAACATAATTGAAATTTCCTATTTCCCTTTATCTTTTTGAAAACTTCTGGTGGCTTTTTATTACTAATGCTTTATAGTTGATTGGATTCTCTTGAGACTTGAGTGATGGATCACTGATGTTAACTTTACACACTTGCATTCAGCTTGTAATTTTAGGATGTGAGGGTATATTTTGAACATTAGCTATTAGTGGTACAGGAGTGGGGTCTAGGGTAGTGACCTTACATTTAGCCCAAGTACAATTTAATAAGTGATCAATAAAAGGCAGACTATCATGCTAACATGAAGTCCAATTCAGTCCAAAGATGGAAATTTTATAGGTGGGCAACCAGCTGAAAGGTTAATTTGTGGAACTGGGCAGAAGTGGAACTGGCCTGGCAATGATTGTTAAACTGAGAGGTCTGGACCTCTGTCTGCTGCATTGCCCCAGAACATTTGGACGGAAGGTCTTCAGGCCAAGTTGCGCACAAAATGACCTGCAGTGCTGTGTGCAGTGGGTTAGGGAGTAGGTGGGAAAGACAAGGGCCAGTCTTCATCCCTGACCCCAGTGGCTCTCACTACCATGTGACAACAGCCTGCTTCTCTTTCTGAGAAGCAGCGAATGAATATTGAAAGCACTTCAACATGTTAATGTCCACTGTGATTTCTACAGCTTTTGTTGGATGTAGCAATTATGACTCTGCAACGTTCTTGTGATTTGTATTCTTAACCAATCAATTACTAAATTATCTGGATTGTATTGCTGGTAAAACCTTTTATATAATAGAGGTTTTTGCACTGGGCTATCTAGTTTATCTCTTCGACACCCAAGTAGTAAGAGCAAGAGGGATATAATATATAGTGCAGAAAATATTCTGGAGGTTTAAAACAACTAAGAATTAAGCTTTTCTGAAAGTAATTGACATTTAAAAGTAATAAAAATGTGGGTTTTTTATTAATCAACTACAGTCACAATACAGTCATCATAGATTTCCCCTTCTGTATTCATCCCACCAAATACAAAGCAAAGTGTGTCAGTCTGACTTTCTTCATGTGAGTCACCACCTTGGTTTACTTCTTTCTCAGTGGAATCTCCTTTCTCAGCATCACAGTGTAGCATGGCAGCATTTGAATCTTCTTTCTCAGAAGTGCCCATCACTGGCCATGGAATGATACACATGGAATGGTCCAATCGTCCAGGGGGTAGAAAAGTATCAAATTTAAGCAGGGTCCAGTGCTGCTTGTCTATGTTGGGGGGGAAAAAAAGTCACTGTGTTTAGACATTTCCAGAAATGCTCAGTGGTGTGCTGTATCATTTGAGCCCTAAAAGAAACAGTCAATAAAAGGGGAAAAACCTAATGGCATTGTTACTGTTTTGATGTCATTCCCTAAAAATCTGGTTTTCACTCCTTTGGATTTAGATGTGAAGGGACCAAACTGAAAAACCAAAGTATTGTGATACTTTTCAAAGAATGTTCACTTTTGTTTAAAGACACACAGTGAACAGGTGCTCACCTATGTGATACTGGTACATTGTGTCCAGTGCTCCTTTGGGAGTCATGCCTCCAAAGACATATACATGTTTCCCCACAGCCACCGCTGAGTGGGCAGCACAGCCTGTGGGAGCTGCCCCGGTGGGACTTAGCTTCTGCCACTTCATGTCACCTGCCAAGAGAAAGAACATGTTCGGGCACAACATGGCTCAGAATGTGGTTTCAGCCTTATCTGTCAGACTCCTACAAGCTAGCAAACCAGTCAATGAACATCATTCATTAAGAGCTCTGAGAGAGAATATAATAAGGTTTAGTGTACACCGAAATTACCTGGGGGAGCTTGAAATTCTGTTTGGGTAGTTCAGGGAAGCGGGCTAGGGGTGGGCTCAGTAATCTATAGTTTTTGTTTTGTTTTTTTTCATGGAAGTACTAGGGATTGAACCCAGGACCTCATGCATGCTAAGCACACACTACCACCAAGCTATATTCTCCCCACCGTAATCTCTGGTTTTAACAAGCATCCCAGGTGATTCTGATGTAGGTGGTCTTTGGAGCATCCTGAGGAATGTGATGCAATCTTTGCTGACTGTCATCATTAACTATTTTGGAGCCCAGAAGGAGGTGAGGTTCCAAGTGTGTGTGTGTCTGTGTGTGTTTTGTGTGTGTGCATACATGCCTGTATGTACACACACACATGTATATTTTAAATACTAACATTTCCTTAGAAAGCAACTTTGTAAGCAATGGCTAGACACTTTAAATATTTTGCTTACTTTATTCTCAAAACAGTCACATGAAATTGCTTTTATTTCTGCCTAACTTACCTTCTTCTTACAGATAAAGAAACAGGGTAAGAGAGGGAAAGAGACTTGTCTAAGATCCCACAGCTAGCAGGTGGCAGAGCTAGAATTGTACTCAGGTCTGACTCCAAAACCTGTGTTCTCTATGCCTCACTCAGCACCTACTCCCAACCTATTTCTGCAGGGATATTTGTACCTTTCAGACAAGCATTTAATTGAGGCAAGGTATCACTGGATTTTAGGTTTAGAAAACCACTCGGGTAGGAAAGGAGGAAAAATAGGCAGGAAGTAGTTCCTCATGCAAGAGAAAAAGACTTTCTTTTTTAAAAAAATAAGCATTAAAACCCTGTTCAACTGCCTGCAAGGAACGCTTCTGTGAAGATATTTTCCATCTGTCAGTTCAAGGCAGGAGTCCAGCATCTCAGAATTGGAAGGGAGAATCACCAAGTCCAGCCAAATATCCTAGCCAATGCAGGGATCCCAGCCAGTGTCACGTGGCTTCAGATGTCACCAGACCAGAGAACCCATTGTTTGGCAGGGCAGCCTGACACACTGCACAGCAGTTCTCATGCCTTCTGCCCGCAGTTTCAATTCTTGTAGTCTGGAGCAATGGCAGAACACGTTCATTTGTTCATCCGTCCACTCATCAACAGATATGCACTCACCACCCGCAGCCTGCCAGACACTGAGCTCAGTGCTGGAAATACATGGGGCACAAAAGAAATAAAGTCCCTGCCCTAAGGGAGATCATAGTCTGAAAGAATGACCCAGAAAAGAGTCCAGGCTCTTAAGGGCACATCAGTCCTTCAGATACTTAAAGACAATTCTCACGTTCTCCCTAACTTTCCTCTTCCCAGTGTTTTTTAACCATTTATCATCACAGTTCTGGTTGTCCACCTCAAGACACACTCCAGAAGTTATCCAAGCCCCTCACAGGCATGAGGGTAACAGCTAATGCTCTAAGGAAATCCAGTCGGAAAACACAAAGCATAATGAATTATAATGAAAAAGCAGGGTTATTGGAAGGGTAAGAAATAGTTAATGGGTAGGGACATGGCAAATGCTCAGGAAATACTTGCTTTTATTGCTATTAATTTTTATTATTGTTCAGGTCACATTTGACAGAATCTAGTGAAGATTCTGCTGACGAGTCAAGTTTACCCACACCTAGAAGCAAGGCTATAGTCTGTCAAAGCAATTTTATTTAATTCTAAGTAGATGAGCCCCTGTGCTCTCCACCCCACTTACTGGTATCAATGCAATGGAGATCATCATAGAATTTGTCCCCTGCCAAGCCTCCATGGATGAAGAGCTTTGTCCCTGCTGCCACCATCACGTGACCGTGCCGGGGGGATGGAGGATTTCCAAGTGTCTCTGGCTGTGACCAGGACAAGGTGTCTAAGAAAATAAATTCATTGACATTAGATGACAAAGCTACAAAGCAAGGACACGAGGAATACACCCATCTCACCTCCCAGCGAGCAGAGATGCTCCAAGCAGATAGCAACCTGGGATCTTTCACTCTGATTCGCCAACCCAACCCAGGCCCCCCTCCCTCTACAGCCTTCACAGCATCAGATGGCACACTTCCAGAGCCAGAGCATTCACTACCTAATATGCCTGGCCCTTCTACTGAGCATTAAAGAAACCACACTTTGCTTTGATTTAAAAAAAGACCTCCCTTAAGTTTCTTCAACCTAGAACTGCCCCAGAGTTAAAAAGGAGCCTGCTTCAGAGTCTTCTCTTTTTTAAGACAATACCCTTAATTAAATTGCTGGAACAGTAGCGGGGGAAATAGACTACTTTTAAAGTTAGCAGGGCCTGCTGAAATGGTTGTGTAGGATAATGGTTAGAACATGGGATTTGGTGTTAAAACTGGGTTATTTCATGGAATAACAATTAGGTCTTGCACCAATCAATTCTTAGGAATGGCTAACAGTGTGTACCTGTGTCTGGGGAGTGGGAAGGAAAGGCCTAAGGGGAAACTTGTACTTTTTTTACCTTATAAACCATACTGTTTAAAATTTTTTAAATTGATCAATTACTCCTTTTTAAATGCAAGTTTCACTATGGGTAGAAGCTATCAGCTAAGAGATACACTGAAGAAGTCTAGAAGTGAGACAGAGCCATGTTGTCATTTTCTAACCTCTGCTTCCTACATCAGGTAAGCTGCAGGCTGGGTGGCCCTGACCAGGTAAGTGGCAGCCCCAGGGTGCCCCGCAGTCCATACTTGCATCAAACACATGCAGCTTCACATCCTGCACCGGCTGGGCACCTCTCTCTCCACCCCCAAAGACATACAGCTGGTTTCCAATGGCTGCCGATGACGTGTGGAATGTTCTTGGGGATGGTGGTGGGCTCGTCACCTCTGGCATGGTCCAAGTACCAGTTTCTGATCCAGAGAGAAGGCAGGCATCAACAACACCCAGGCTTAGGGGAATCTGACATTGACTCTGGGGCTGGGCTAGGTCACCTTTCGAACCTCAATCCCCAGTGGGGACAGTGTAGATCCAGGCAGGGATCTCATGCCACTAAAGTCAAGGAGGGATAGGGGGCAATCCTTGGAATTTGCCTAGATAGACTCAAATTCCCAAGACTGAAAAGTCACAAGTATAATTAAGAATGAGGTCAGTTTGTTTTTGGAGGCCTTCAAACATCCTCTCTGAATCCTCTTCCCCTTTGCTGACTACCCTGCCCTATGCCCACTCATAAGAGCCCAATGTCTGCTAATATTCATTTCCACTAGATGCAAGAAACCAAATGTGCCGAGTTTCTCAGGATATGTGGCCATTAAAGGAAAGTAGACAATATTACCAGTTTCAGTAGTGGTAGTAATAGTCCCTACTAATTGGTAAGTGCTAAATAAATATTAGTTTCTCCATTTTACAGATAAGGAATTAAAGCAAAGATAGATTAAGCTGGGATTCAAATTCTGATTCAGTAACACCAAGATCTATGTATTTTCCACTCTTCTGACTTGAGAGTAAAACTTCACCACCTGGGTAGTGTATAGAAGCTTCCTTCTTTTCGAAATGAAGCATGAATTTTATAGAAACACATACAGTAACTGAGCACCTTCCTTGTGCAGAACCACTTCCCTGAGCACTCCGCCATCCCCACTACCCTCACTCAACCCTGGGAGGCAGGTGGAAAGCATTTCTTCCTTTGCACATGAGGGAACTGAAGCTCAGAAAGTGTAAATCCTTTTCCCCAGGTCACTGTGTTGGTAAGTAATAGAGCAGGGCTTTGAACACACATCTGTCAAAACTCCCATACTCATTCCACTATAACAGACCAGGAATTATTTCTTGCCTGGGAAATTCTGTGCCTATTGCAAAGGTCTTCTTCACTCAGTATACAAAGTGCCCCATGAAGCATTTGTAATAGGTGTGAAACTCAGAACACGAACCTGGAGACCAAGCAAGTCTCAGCCTATACCCAAAGCAAAATGTAATTGTCTCAATGAACTTATTTACAAAACAGAAACAGACTCACAGACATAGAAAACAAACTTATGGTTACCTAGGGGACTGGGGCGGGGGGGGAGAGGGGAGTGGAGGAATAAATTGGGAGTTTGGGATTTACAGACACTAAATACTATACATAAAATAGATAAACAGCAAGATCCTACTACATAGCACAGGGAACTATATTCAATACCTTGTAATAGCTTATAATGGAAAAGAATATGAAAAGGAATATATATATATATAGCTGAACACTACGCTGTATACCAGAAATTAACACAACATTGTAAACTGACTATACTTCAATTAAATTTTTTTAAAAATGTAATTGTCTCTGCAGCTACAGATCTTGGAGAGCTTTTGGATCTTAGAGGGAGTTAGAAGGTGTCCAACCTCCAGGGTAAGAAGATCCTGGGATCGTGTTGCTGCCAAGTCAAACACTAGTACAAATAGTCAGGAAGGAGTCCCAAGCCAGTTGGGGGACTTGCCTTAGTAACAAGAGCAACTAATGACTCACAACATTTTTCATATTTCTTGGGCATGGTGTCAAATTATACTTTCTAGGAGAGAAAAAGGATCTGGTGGAAAAATCAATTCTTTTGACAGAAGCTTTCCAAATTCTTACTGTATTTTATTTAAATAGATTCCATCATTGAAAATCAAAGGCCAGAGTTCCAGAACTGATTTCCATCTGCCAAACCATAGTTACATCAACCACAACAATGACGACTGAGCATTAACTACGTGCCAGATTTGAGTTACTTTAAATTCTTGCCAAATTTAACAAGGTAGGAATTATTACTATCCCAAAGTGACAGACAAGGCCAACTACTGTACAAATAAATCTACTGTTGATAAGAGGAAACTGGGCAAGAGTTGACTGCCATGTGAAAAATGTCCAGGTTATTAGTAATTAACAAAATGCATACTTAAACAATTAGATACAAGTTTTTTTTTAACCTATCAAATTAGCAGTGATAATTAGCAGTATTAAACACGCTTGGAGAGAGGGTAAGTTGGAAAAATCTTTTTGGAGAGCAATTTGGTAGCACGTACTAAAAGCCTTAAAGTTCAGTGTTTTATCTAGTTTTATGTATAAAAATTTCTGGGCATGAATGCTAAGACAACAATTTGAAATACAGTCAATGACTTCTGAACAAAGATGTTTACTGCTTTGTTATTTACAATGATAAAAACCTGAAGACAACGTAAATGTTTAAAAAAAACAGAGCAATTATGGTATTGTCATAAAACTGAGAATTATAGAGCCATTAAAAATGATTTTAACAAAGCCTTGCTTTTAATAGGGAATCATTTCTGTGGTAATTATGAAATTAAAAAGAAAAAGACACAATAGTGTAGTGATGAAACAGTATGATCTCAGGCTTATAAAAATGCAGAGAAAATAGACAAACAACAAGATTATACTGTATAACACAGGGAACTATATTCAATATCTTGTAGAAGATGAAAACGAATATATGTATGCTCATGTATGACTGAAGCATTATGCTGTACACCAGAAATTGACACAACATTGTAAACTGACTATACTTCAATGAAAACATATATAAACAAAATCCCCAATGGGCACCACATGGTACCCCTTATAACTCCTTGAATGGAATATATCCTCCCAAAATAGGAAACTTAAAATTTAGGTATATCACAGTTTCAGGCCTCTGAGTATCAGGGCTAGAGATACACAAATGTAAGCTTCCTAAGTGGAGGCCTGGAAGTCATCACTTTGGAGGGCCGATGAACAAGTCTTTTTTTTTTTTTAAATTGAATTCTAGTCAGTTACAATGTGTCAGTTTCTGGTGTACAAGTCTTAATATCATAGAATTGGGCCTATTAAAATTTTTTTTTAAATGCAGAGAAAAGACAGAAAGGAAGTACACAGAAACATTATTAAAAGCCTTAATGTCATAGGATTGTGGATGGCTTTTGTCCACTTATTTAGACTTTTCAAATATTTTACAATGAATATAAACCATATTTATAAAGAGAAAAGAAATCTATCTGACAAAAAGTCAAGTCTACCTCCTGCAGGTGGTTCAGCAATATCCTTTCAGTAGTGATGGTCCTGAACCGCTTCATCTATGATAAAGCTGCCAATGAGACTGGTCAGGAACTTTGCACTTTTTGAATAAAAGAAACATACTAGGAGGATCTAGGTCAGGGTTTCTTAACTTTGGCACTATTGACATTTTAGACCAGATCATTCTTTTTTACACACACAAAAATGTTTAATGGAGGTACTAGAGATTGAACCCAGGAACTCATGAATGCTACCTATGTGCTCCACCACTGAGCTATATACCCCACCCACCTTGACCAGATGATTCTTTACTGTGGGGGGCTGTCCTGTGCATTACAGGACTTATGGCATCTCTGGCGTCTACCCACTAGATGCCAGTAGCAACCCCCTGCCCTGAGGTGTGATAACTAAAAAATGTTTCCAGACATGGCCAAATGTCCCTAGGCAGGCACAACTGCCCCCATTTGACACCTCCGATGTAGGTGACTTGGGTTCTCCTGCTTCAGTCACTGACTCTCTGGTGACTTTCGGAAAGTCACTTCCCCTCACTGGACCTGATTTGCCCACTAGGCATAGCTGTTCTCTGATGTCTCTTCTAGCTTTGGCTTTTAAGGAATTGATCATTGTACACATTACGAGGAAAACAAAATGGAATTTTATTATTTTCAGATTCTGTTAGAAGTTAAAATTCCTATTTTTTACAAGGTCAGCAAAGTTAAATGGATTAGTCAGTACAATCCAAACGGGGTTTGGTACAGGAACTGGAATTGGATTTATTCCAATTTATTTTGGTAAGTAAAATAACCTTTGGCTACTTACCAGGATTCAGAATTTGTAGGCAATTTCGATTTCCTGACTGGTTGGCACCTCCAAACACCCAGATGCTGTGAGGTGTGCAGGAGGGAACGAAGCTGGCATGCTCATACCGGGGCAAGAGACCCTCCGAGGTGGCTAAATCCCACTGGTGCGTTCCTAGAAAACATTTCATCAAGTTCCTAGATTCAGGGCTACCAATGCTTATACTGGTTGACAAACTTGGGGGAGGGTAGTAAGGAGAAAAGGGTCAAAAGCATAAGTGAACAACCATCAGATCACTTAAAGGGAATGTGGTCAACCTATAAAAAGTTCTACAGCAGACACTTTGGGGACTGTCTACCTAGTCCATAATCCTCTTGTATGGGAACTGTCCCCACTCTCCCAACTCCAGGGACAAGGCCAGAAGACTTGGTTGTACTACACTTTGACTTTCTAGACTTAGCTGATAAGGTCAAAGGTAGCCACTGGACCCAAAATGGGCCAATCAGATCCTCTCTCCCAAGAATTTGGAATTCAAACAGATTTCTGGATTTGGGTGGCCATCTCCTATTTGGGTGTGGAGAAGCAGACAAAGCCTAAGTACGCAGAAGAGAAGAATGAAACACCTACATAAAGAAGCAGATCCCCCTAGAGGGAGTGAGGGAGGAAGTAGACAGTCTTCAACAGCTTTCCAGTTCCTGCTTCCACTCTCCTGAGGCCTGAGGCGAGGCCAAATTTCCTGCCCTTGGAGTCTCCCCACTCCTTTTTTTTTTGCTGGCTTAAGAGAGTTTCTGTTACCTGCAACTAAATGATTTCTGGCTTTATAAAACAACTTCACAGTCTCTTAACACCTAACTGATTAGTTATTTTAATCAGTAAGCAGCTTGCATAAGAACTTCACAGGCATTATCCTGTTTACAAATGCCAAGTGAAGCAAGTTATTTCCCCCACTTTAAGGGACACTGAAACCCAGGAGGTTTAGGTGGTTTAGCCAGAGTCACAAAACTAGTAAGTAACAGGTCACAACAGAGTTGTAACTGAACTGGACAATGAGCTTCTTGAGAGTGGAAAGAGATTAATTTACCTTTGATTTCCTAGTGCAAGGTGTAGAAATTCAAATTCCTGTGCAGGATTGGAGGAAACTGGAGAATGAGAGCCCCACTGATAGGTGGCAGCTCAGGTACAAGTAACTGTCACCATGTAGACATACAGGCCTACTGATGTCAGATCTTCAAAATTATCAAGAGAGGCCAAACCACTTCAAGTTTTATATGCAGGCTCCTGCACATTTGGTTAGTAAACAACTGAGATCAAAACAATAACAGCAATGTTACATGGACCCAATAAAACATGTAACAAAACACCAGGTTTCTTCTGATGTGATGTTCATCATCTTAGAGGAAAATCCTGCTGTCTGGTCTGAACCAGCATTCTTAGGAATGGTCATGGCTGGCAGCACAAAACCCTGCTCTCTGGCCATAGGACTGCTCAGCTGCTGGTCTTACCCAGATCCATGGTGTGCACATCTGAGAAGCTCCTGTTTGGATCTGCTCCCCCAACAATGAAGACCTTCCCGCTCTTGGAGTCACCAACAGGGGGTAAATATGAGCAGCTGTGGCCAACCCGAGCACAGGGGCTGTCTCCAGTCAGGGTCAAGGTGTACCTGAGGAAGGAAAGATGTATTCAGGAGGCCTGAGCAGAGACTAAATGCAGCAGTGTGTTCTTCCCACTCCTCATGGAACAGTCACCAGGATGAAGGGTCTTATACATACACACACATTTAAGTCATATCCAGCAAAGTAGCATTTCCTTGATTAACAACGGTAACTTCCACTTGCACATGACCTTTGACTTTTCAGTTTTGTCACTACTTTCATTTCACATTAACCTAGTGGAGATGCCCTGGGTTAGTAATTGTCCCCATTTGGTAGATGGGGAAACTGATACCCGGAAATGTTAAGTAGTCTGTCCAGGCTCAGGGCAGTAGTTAGGAGCACAGTTTGCAAATTCAGACAGATCTAGCTCAAATCCCAGTTCAGGTGCCTTCTAGATATATGACTTTTTGGAAATCTCTTAACCTTCTCCAAACCTTACTTTCCTCATTTGTGAAATGAAGACAGCAATAGTTCTCACCTGTGAAGAGTAAGGTGCAATCTTGTTACAGACTCAGTAAGTGATGGCTAGAGCTTTATGTGCAATCACATAGGAACCAATGGTCCCAAAGCTTTTGCCACTAGCCAGTGATGCTTCGCTCTGCCAACAAATATTCTCCACAATTCACTGATTTTTAAGAACTTTTCCAGATTACTCATAAAGCTCGACCTGATGGAAGCCAAAGTTAGGACTTTGAAAAAATCAAATACAGGACCTATTCACTCTGCTCTCTAAAGTTATTCTGAATGGTGACAGAGAAAGCACACTTGAAGCTTCCTAGTTGGAAAAGAAAATTCTCCTTTCCTTACCTGGCTTCCCTACACCCTTCCCTTTTGATTCTCTTCCCACCTGTCTGGCTGTGCTTTCTGTTTCCTACTCTGACTCTTTTCCCTCTAGCTATCCCCCAATCCTCATGGATTCTTTTCTCTTCTCCTCAGTCTAGTTTGCTTACCTGATCAATTTGACACCCACTGATGGCCTCAATTACCACCTATCTACATATTGTTCATCAGTGATTTCCAAATCTCTATTTCTGTTCCAGATCCCTCTTCTGACATCCAGATTCACATATTCCATTACCACCCGAAGGGTTTCTAACAATGTACCATGCCTGCTGCTAAATTCATTACAACCCTGGTTTCACAGAATCTGCACAAAGCCCTTTTGAGAACAGTACTAAAATCATCATTTGAGTTTTACAACTGAGGACGCGAGGCTTAGAAAATTTAAATAACTCATTCAAGAGCACACAGCTATTCAGCTACATGGTGAGTAAGACAAAAGAAGTCCCTGCCTTCATAGTCATGACAGACTCATGGGGAAGAAAAACATTAAACAGATAATTTCACAAATATCAATTTCATTTCAATTGTGCTATAAAGGAGTATAGAACATATAATATGACAACATATCATAGGGGACCCTACACTGTTCGGAGAGGTTGGTGAGGGGTCAGAGAAAGCTTCCTGAAGAAGCACCATTTGGTCTGAGATCTGAAATATGAGTAGAAGTTAGCTGCGCAAAGAGAATAAAAAAAGAGAAGGGGAAAGAGTGATCCAGGTAGAGAGACCAGCACATCTAGTTCATGAATGGGACTGCAATGTTAAAGGAAGAGGGAAAAAACAGGATGAGTAAGGGACTTGAGGCAGGGACATATCATGCAGGGCCCAGTGGGCCATTTTAATGACTCTGGTTTTTATTCTAGACCAATGGCAAGGCCCCAAAGGGTTTTAAGCCAGGGAATGCCATGATCAGATTAATGATGGAGAGAGAGCAAGAGTGGACACAAGGAAGCCAGACAGTGGCTCTCTTCCAAGGTCCAGCAGAAGTATTGCTTCCTCTCTAGAGCCTTCTGTGAGCCCTGCTTCAGCACTGATCACTTTTCATCACCATCACCTGCTTAGTCTGCAGCCCCCACTACTCTGAGTCTATTCACCTTTATACCTTCAGCACCTACAAAGCAGCTGCCCTTGATGGGCCAGTGTCTGTTGTTGAATGAAGGGCTGGTTGAACCAGCAGTCAAGAAATAGCGAAGTCAGTTTTATTCCAACCCAATTCCTTGAAAATCTGAAAAAAGTGAGTCACGGTTTGGGGGAAGACACAGTGTCGGAGCTGAGGATGCCAGATGGTCAGTGTCTTATTCTTGCTGGTAAATGGATTATAATAAAATCAACATCTGCTCTGTGATAATTATTGCCCCCCTATATTTCCTCTGAAGACTTTCTCAGACAGTTTGAGTCTAATTACCAGAAACTGTTTCATCTCTACCCTTTTTCATAGACGACCAAATATGTTAGTAAACTACTTATAAATGAAACAAAAACTCATGTGTTTCTCTGTCTGAATTCTTCCTTACAGACCATGTTGCTTTCCTGGGCTTTTCGCCAGGCTCCAAGACTGGCAGCTGCTTCATGGTGTCCTATACATAACAAAGAAAGGCACTTTTTAGACATTTGTCTTCTACCTAAAACATAGAACACAGAACAAATCAGGTTACTTCCCTCTTTAAAAACTATCCTGTTTTATTCATTCATTCATTCATTCAATGAAGGTACTAGGGATGAACTTGGGACCTCATGCATACTAAGCATGTGCTCCACCACTGAGCTATGCCCACTTCCCAAAAAACTTTCCTGTTGATGTACCAATTTCTAGGGCCTGATTAATTTTAATAACCATTACCAACTTTTTGATATAAACTTATCTTTTGGGAGGCAACTATAACACAATCCCCCTTTTTTTTAAATGGGGGAAAGGCAATCAGGTTTATTTGTTTAACAGGGGTATTAGCGATTAAACCCATGACCTCGTGCATGCATGGCATTCCACCCTCCCTGCCATAACACAACTTTCTTAATCCAATTACAGGATTTTTTCTTTTTTTGGCCAAAGTTTTCTGTATGTATGTGGTTTTCATGGGGGAGGGGTATATATTTAAATCATTTTCGGACATTATAAGGTGTTTATGTTCATCAAAAGATACACCATTTTAAACGGCTGAGAAGTACTGAATGCTCGGATAAATCCTGGCCTCAGCATGACATTCAAAACCTTTTGGCCTCAATCTTCTTTTCAGGAACTCACCTCTACAATTTCTTGCTATAGTGGGCTGTTCTTACTATATTTGTTCCTCTAAAATGGCAGGCCCTTTCATAACTTGCATTCTGCACTGCTTCCTTTACCTGAAATGTCCTTTCCCTTCTCGTCAACTAGCAAACTCATAGTCAAACTCCAAAGCCCAGCTCAAATGTCCCCTCCTCAGTAAAACCTTCCCTGACTTTCTGCACTCCTTGTACATCCTCAAGTTACTTTCTTCTCCATCTGAAGGTATCTACTAGGATCACCCTGAATGTAATTATCTATTTAAAAGTCTCTAGGCCAGATTGTAGACTAAATTGCACTGGACCAGATTCCAAGAGAGCTGGGCCTCTCAGATTCAGAGAACCTATCAATGGGCCCGGTATAAAGAAAATGGATGAGATTTCTGAGAGGTGAATGTGTAAATCCAACCTTCAGCCTAAGCCACTGACTGCTGTTCCCAAAGCCCAAAGCTCAGTGGGGTAAACTTCATATGGACCAGGACTTCCAGCAGCCGCCCCTGCCAGGCCCATCCCCCAGTCCCAACCCCGCGTGGCAGCGGTAGGGAATAGAAGACAGGGTTAGGAGAGAACAGGCTGGTTCCTCTCCGTCAATGTAAGGGAGCCCGAATAGGTTTCCTTAGCGCCTTCCACCCGGCCCAGCTCCACTCCCCTAAAGGATACAGCCGCCTCCACCCGTGACCAGTTCAAACCCTGGGCCTGGAGACCCCGAAGCTCCAGACCGCATTACCTGCGGCTGCTCAGGCCAGTCCCGGGCCGTGGCTCCGCCCCAATAGGGGCGGGACCTGCACCTTCGCTCCTCCCCCAGGTCCCGGAAGAGCGCCGCGGCCAACCGCTTCCCCGCCTCCCTGTCCCCAGGCCTCGTCACCTTGGGCGCGCCCTTGGAAGGGGGTGGAGAGAGGTCCTCGCGGCCCGGGGTGTCCACCCCGCTGTGTGTTTCTCCGGAGCTGAACTGGCCGGGTCGTCCTTGTGGCCCTACCTCCCCGCGAAGTCAATAAGCCATGGCTACTTGTAAACGATTTACAAGCGAAACGCCAGGGATTGGGCATCTACTTAGGTGACCCAAATCCCCTCGGCAGCTGGGCTGTCCTAAAGGAGCTAGGATATTTTCAGTTCCAGCGGTTGTTAGAAATGGTTTCTGAAAGGGAGTGTGTTAAAGGTGCTTTCCTAAGTGTGAAATCTCCCTGCGCAGTCTTTGGGCCAGTTCAAGCTTTGGAGACTTAAATAGCCGACTCATTCCATAATTAGTGTCTGTAACTATGGCAGGCACTATGCTGAACCAGGCAAACCCGGCCCCTGGCCTTCTGGAGTTTACAGTCTAACAAATAACTAGGTACATTTTTTAAAAAGTGTACGGAACAAAAAGTTCATCAAGGAAAAAGTATCTATTCTTGGGGAAGTTACTTTCCTCTGGGCCCCAGTGTCGCCCATCTGTAAAACGGAGCTAATAAGACTTTTGTGACATGGTTATGGTGGGGAATACATAAGCTACTGTATATAAAGTGCTCAGTGCCCAGTGGCTGGCAACAGAGCTGGTCCTCTGTAAAATGTAATGCTATTATTCCTAGCTGGAAATGAATTCTAGACACCAGTCCTGAGTTTGAGGTGTTCATCTGCATTATTTCTGGTCTCCTTCATAACCAAAGGTTCCCTGTGGCTTCCTGAAAGTGGAAAGGTGGCTCACCTGTGTCTATGTTTCAGAGAACCCCATAACCACTTAGGAGGGCTGAAGCCAGTTGTATCCCAGGAAATGGAGGAAACAGCTTAGGAAGGAAACCACAGGAGCTCCTGCTGTACAGAGGTTCCTCAGCTCTAGAATGGGAATGGTAATTACCTACCTCAAAGAGGGAGCAGTTGAGAGGATTTTACGGTACTGGTGAGAGACCAACTTGGTAAATCTTTTAGCTACTTGAAACCATAACAAAAATTTATTGACAACATGGAATTCACTGTCTGCAGCCCTCTTCACTGCTCAGATAACCTATTTCAAATACCCGGAGTCTTGCGGAGTTCCCATATTAATGGAAAAATCTCCACTGACTATCTGCCAAAGAGGAGTTTCCGGCTCTCCTTCAGCAAAGAAAACTAAGGCCAGGTTGGCTCTGCCATATATCCATGTGCATCTAGATGGAGATTCTGGCTCAGGGGCTGCAGAATGTCTTTAGGCTAGATCCATTTCAAGATGCCATGCTGGAGTTGCATGTAGACAAGAAAAATTGGAAGAGGTTTGTGGGCAAAATAGAAGTCAGTTTTCATTGTGAGACCTATGCTTTTAGACTAGAAATCACATTTCAGAAAGTGTTGGAATGAACTTTTGAAATCTATTTTTAAACTGGAAATCAAGGCCCAGAGAAGCTAAAACGACTAATCCACATAAATGGCAGAACCAGGAGTTTATATTCTGTTTCGTACAAAGAAGATTGACAACATATTCTAGTCAGCAAGGTCTGTAGGCTGTCTCTGTAACAAACCACCCAATGTGTCTATTACCTCATCTAAGAACTCGCCCAACACTGAGGACACTTCCTTCCTTTCTCTCTGCTGTGAATGTCAAGAGTGAGGTTAACTGAATGAGGTGCGTCTTCAGGAGGGAGCTTCTTACTGCCAGACGGTTTGATAATGTGAGGACTGCCCCCTATTTTCATTGGAAGGGCATAACATCTTTCATTACCTACTTGTTCACTGACTTATCAGTAAGGGAAGCAATGATGCTAGTGACACCTTCCTTTCAAGTAATTTACAGTTTGTAAAGCATGTTCATATCCATCTCCCTATTTGTCTCCCTTCCCAATTCTGAGAAAGTATCTTGAGTAGGATTAATTCCAGTTACTGAGGTTCACAGAGAACAAGTGAATTGTCAGCTGTTCAAAGTAGACTGTTAAAAAAAAAAGCATTTTTGAGCATCTTTTCCTCATTTGGTATTTTTTTCTCCAAAAACTCTGACTGTATTATCCCTATACTTTTTTTTCCCCCTGAAGTCTTAAATGTTATCTCACCTCTTCACAAAGGCCTTTCCTGCCTAGCCAATGTTCAGAGCTAACACTCATACTGCACACGACATTGGGTTTTCTTTGAGGGGGAGGTAATTAGGTTTATTTATTACTATTGCTTTTTTTATGGAAGGACTGGGGATTGAACCCAGGGTCTTGTGCATGCTAAGCACATGCACTCTACCACTGAGCTATACCCTCTCCCCTATACATGACATTGTTTTAAACCATTTCCATATGTTGATTCTATTACACTTCAGCACAAGCCTAGAAGGTAAGTATTCTTATCATCTCCATATGAGGCAGACACTGTTATTATCTCCATATTGGAGCTGAGAAAACTGGAGCAGAAAAACGATGAACAACTTTGTCAAAGTCACACAGGGAGTAATAGAGGCTGGACTTGAACTCTGGCCATTTGGTGTTTGAATCTGCACACTTTAACTCCCTTGTATTGCCAACCTGAAGTAGGCCTCTTCAATCCCATTTTTCTTACAGTGCCCCTTCTTTCTCTTTTCACCATTAATCATACTCGGTAATTAATTATTTGCTCTTTTATATGTTTGTTATCAGATTGTAAGTCCCACCGGGCAGAGATCATATCTGTCTCATCCACATCATAGGTACTATGTAACTATTCAATAAATGAAGAAATATATGCTTGTGGGCACCATTCTGCAACAAACTTTTAAAAATTAATTCTACTTTGAGACAATTTCATACTTACAGAATAGCTGAAAGAATAATACAAAGAACTTCACCCAGAGACCTCAATAAAGTTTAGCCAAATGTTGCCAAAATACACTTTAGGGCAAGAGGTTCCAGTCCAGGGTCACTTGAACAACAAATATTCACTGAGCACCTCCTACTATTGGATTATCTAACAGTCTCCTAACTGGTCTTTCGGCTGCAATCATTGCCTCCTACAGTCTTATACAGCAACTGAAGCGATCCTTTTAAAATGAGTTCGATCATGTTACTTCCCTGCTCAAATCCCTGCCATAATTGCCCGTTACATTCAAAGTAAAAAGCAACGTTCTTTTTTCTCATCTCCTCTCACCTTGACCCAACCACACTAATCTTCTTGCCATTTCCCAAAGATTCTAGACATGCTTCTGTCTTAGGGCCTCTGCATGCTAAGCATGTGCTCTACCACTGAACTGTAACCCCTACTCCTGACTTTGTTGGTTCTTAAAAATGCATCACTAGGTCTCCCTTACCTTGCTGTTCTTTTCCCCGAGCACTTATCACTTTCTAATATGCTCTACAGTTATTGTATTTGCTGTTTATGTTTTGTCTCCTGTACTAGAATATAGCTGCAGGTTGAGGACAGATATCTTTGTCTATTCTGTTTGCTGAATATCCCAAGCGCCTACAGCTCTACCTAGCACACAGTTAAGTGTTCAATTAATGGCTGTTGACTGATGGAATGTTGACAATATACTGTCGGTTCCTGTGCTTGGTTCTGGAGGTACAATTACAACAAAAAACTTCCCTGCCCTCGTGGGACTCACACTGAAGTATACTTAAACCATCCAGATCTGTTCCAGTTTTGGCTCCCCTGCCTACTCCCTGTGAGATCTGGGCAAGTTACTTACCCTCTCCGAGCCTTCCTTTCCTATTAATCATTATGAGGATTAGGCGGAAAAGCAGCATTTGTATAGCGTTTAGAATAAGAAGCGCTTTAATATTTGTTTCCTTTCTTTCCAGGCTGGCAAGCTGGTAGCCTGACATTTCTGCCATGGGTTTAGGCAAGGTTTTCACAAGGCCTTGGAAAGGGGCAAACAAGCTTACCCAATTTTTAACTGAAGCTATTCTGGTGAGGGAAAGCTTAAAAGGGTCGGAGTGAGGAAACAGGGAATGGCTGGCGTCACCTGCTTCGCCGTTTTGCATCAGGAAAGCCTCGCTGGGTCCCCAGTGGTGCAAGTCTAGAGGAAGGGAAGGAGGGAAAAAGAGGAGTGTTTGGCCACGGCGGAAAACTACAAGTCCCAGCACTCCCTGCGGCAGAAAACTACGGGTCTCAGCAGGTTTCGTCCCCCGGACCCAGGGGGCCTCTAGGGGCCTGCAGTCTGGGTTCAGCGGGAGAGGGCGCGGGGCGTGCCAAGGCAGCGGGGAAAATCGGGTCAAGCTTTACGCCGCTGCGCAGACGCCTCTCACGGGCCGGACGTGACGTAGGAAGGGTTCCGGCTTCGGCCTCCGCCGCTGCCGCTGCTAGTACAGCCGCCGCCGCCGCTGCCGCCGGGGCTTGTTATTTCTAAAATGGCGCCCCTAGACTTGGACAAGTATGTGGAGATAGCCCGGCTATGCAAGTACTTGCCGGAGAACGACCTGAAGGTGAGCCCGGCCTGGCGGGAGCGCTGCTTTCGGGGTTCGCCCCTTCCGGCAGTGGGGCGCCCGCCGGCCCGCCCTTCCTCACTCCGCGGGACCCCCGCGGATATCCCGTCCCGTCACGGTGGAGGGCCTAGCGCGGTGCGAAGCGACCGGTCGGACTTGGCGTTACGCGGGGAGCAGGGGAAGCCCGAATTCCCCGAGTGCTGTCCCGGTTCCCTGGGCGGGGATTCCGAGGGGTGTCGCGGCCTCTGCCCCCAGGGTTGCCCCTCCTGGACTTGGAGCTGCCCCAGGGCTCCGAGCTGTAACAGCTTTGCTTACAAGACTCCACTTCTTTCACTCCGACCCTCGGTTTCCCGGAGTCCGAGCCGAGCCCCCGCTGGCAGAGGCCTGGGGTCGTCGTCCCCCCCCCACCCCCGCCAAGGTGGTGACAGGGGCGCGCGGGGTGGCCGGCGTCTGACAGGAGATGCCGCCCGCTCTCGGAACGGAGCCTCGTGTGATTAGGCTCCTGAGGAATGGGAAGAGGGCAGACGAGGAGCTCGAGCCGTTTGGTGGGGATGTGACAGAATGTCAAGTTGTCCCTCTTCCCGATCACTTCTCCCAGGTGCTTGTTTAGGAGTGTTAGTTTTCTTCTGCTAATTCCGATAAGAACCCATTTTCGAGTGCGTTGAACTAATTTAAGTGGATAAAGTAGTAGGCTCTCGATAAATACAAATACTTTTCTGCCCTTTAGGTTGTTCCCCCCAGTTCCCTTCTTAGCTCAAGATTTCACTCTCTTGGTTTTTCAAAGGAGATGAGTTGTTCCTTGTACTGCAGAGTCCTAGTAACAGTAAACGTTATGTTTGGATAAAGGAATCAATGTGAGGATGAAGGAATGTAAGTCTTGGAGATACTGCTCTTTTGACAAGTGTTTCAATGCGCTTGTCAAAACCAGTGAGTGCTTAGGTGTCTAGCGGAGTCCGGGCGGTTAGTGCTAGTGCTTGTTTTATTTGTTCAGTTAACTTTGATTTGCTGTGTTGTAAGTGGGTAAACGATAGTTTTGAGTTCTTTTTATTCTTTAAGCTGTAGGTTTAAAGCAATTTATCTTTGTCCGTGACTTTTTTCTCTAGGGGAAGATATTACTGGTTTCTTGTTTCGCCATCTATTGGTACAGGGAGTTGATATTTAACATCGGTCAACAAATGTGCATTATGTTTAAGGCCACAGGAGTTGTGAATATAAATTATTTGTACTTTTATGTTAATTATACATGCTATTTGATAGAGGAATCATTCTTGTCCACTCTCCTATTAACAGGTTAATTTAATTAAAACGGGGACAAAGCCAGTATTAGTAGAAATGTAGCTTTCATTCTCTTCTAACGTTAGTTTTGTAGCTTCCTTCTGCAATATGCTTTTCTAGGAAACAAGGATACAACCAACATTGCGACCCAATTTATTAGAAAACTAACCAGCTGTCTTTTAATAGCGTTTGTTAATCCCATAGGTGAAGTTGGTTTTTGCATATCAGTGAGTTGAAGTGGAATTTTCTATTCTTTAGTATGTGTAAAACAGTTTTAAGCTTACTGTTTATAATGAGTAAAATGTTGCTTGTTATGAAATTTTATCTTGATATGAACTTGAAATTGGATATTGGAATGATTTGGAAGATAAATCAGTCGAATTTTTTTTAGACCTCTTAGTTCGATAAACGTTATGTTTCCTTCCCAGTTTAAGAGACTATAGATATTAAATCATTTCATTTCCCTTTGCAACACAATTGGACTGCATTTAGTGTGTATCTGTTTTTTAATAAACTTAAAATTTTCTGGGCAACTACTAGAAGAAAAAGAATTTTGAATTTAATCTGTGTAAGTGGAGGCTTTTCTTCTTTGTCTTGGAACTGTTTTTATCAGATTAATTTTCCTGTATTGCTCATTTCTAGTGTATTTAAAGAAATTTATTTGTGTCTACGTTTTGGCATGAAATGCAAACTAAAATTAGGCAGGCCAGGAAAATATTGCAGGAGCACTTTTTCTGAGGCTTTAAAGCCAAAATAAAGTAATATCAAAGGAAGGAAAGATGTCATTATGGAAAAGATTTGTTCTGGTAGGAAAATAGAAATTCACTTGTGTTTTAGATTGATTGGAAGTTGGAGGTACTAAATAAAATAATAAATGCATAGTATGTTCTAGATCTAATCATTATTTTTCTATATCTAAATTGAAAGTGGTCAAATCACTAGTTCTGGATCAAATCTACATAACTGGCTTAAAGAAATAAGGATGAAATGTGTGAAAATGAGTGGACCAAAGCATAACCAAACCATAATTAAGAAAAAAAAAGAGCTCATGTGATTCTCATCTACAATAAAGATTTCAGAGAGAATCATAGAAAATACAGATTCCATATTTGGCCAAGTAGTAGAATGAAGAATAAAAGACATGTTTACAGGATACTTAGACTTAAGTATTTTGGCAAGGGAAGGGTTCTATCACTTGGGGATTGTCTGATCTCTCCAGTAGTTCTAAATTAAAGGTGCCATGTAAATAAAGAAATCACACACTGAGTTAGTGTTCAGTTTTTTTAAACTGAAGAACAGGAGAAAATTTCCTTGGTAGAGGTTGGGAGAATACTATTGTCTATCTCCGAGATGCAACATAAGAAGAAACAACTACTTTTATGAATTAATAGTTAATGTAATCTTTTTGCAACTCACTTTTTTGTTTAGTCTGAGCCATCTCTTGAGTTTTCTGTATAAGGCTACCTGCTCTGTAAAGTTGTATCTCTGTTTGAAATGTCTCCATTAAGCTTCAAAGGATTCTCCTTTGCTTTTTTCTGAGATTTAGTGAAGCGCCGTTGGCTCTTTTCAGGTGCTTAGTAGCTATATGTGGCTGTAGATTTCCTATGGGACAGTGCACACTTCTAATAACGCATCAGCCCCTTTCTTAGAATTTTAGAGCTGAGCAAGAAGCAGTTTATCTAGTTCTGTGTCCTTCGCACTTTACTGAGGGGAACTGAGCTACATAGAGTTTATGATCTGCCTGAGGATGTCCAGCTAATCAGTGAATTAAGTTGAAAAGCCTTCGTGCAGAGCTCTTTCTGATACAGTTAATAGCCTTTTTAGGATGAGACAAATAGCATGCTTTTCTAAGTATGTCTTCCATTTCATCACTTTTTTTTAAACCTTCCATTCTGAGCACATTGGATTGCTCTCTTGGAACGATGTGTCTTATACGTCCCTGCATCTTTTCTTCTGCTTAGTCTGTTTCTTTCACCTACTTATTTAATGCTTATATAGCAAGAATATAAAATCACTTGATACTCTGTGAGCTGTGTACTAATACTTGCCCCACTTTATAGGCAGGTAGCTGAAACACAGACAGATTAAGTAACTTTCCAACGTCATACAGCTAGTAAGGAAGTGGAGGAGCTGAGATTCAAACCTAGGCAGTCTGGCTCTAGGGTTCACGTCCATAACGACCACTTATGCTTCCTCTATACGATACCCTCCACGCCCCTTTTTAGCTCTAGTTCATATGTCACTTTCTCCATGCAGGGCTCCTGGATTCCAGTCAGAATTATTAGTAACGGTTAGAATTTACATAGCTACTTATAGTTTTCAGAACACCTTCATGTCCCTTCTGTCATTGTGATAGGCAGAACAGATACCAGAGCCAGGACTTGATAAGGTTTAAGTGATTTTTGCCTCAGTGACTCAGCAGAGTACATACCTGAATTTATTTGCTATTAAAAATTCCCATTCTTTCTTTTCTGACCTTTTGCCCAGTAGCACTTTTTGTTCCATTTTACTACCTACTACCACTGTATTGTTCTGTTTTGTATGATAGTAAATGTGTCTGTCTCTACCATTGGACTGTAAGCTTGCAGGGCCAGAATCATATGTAGTTTATTTTTGTATTGTCCACAGTCTTAGAGCACTGCCATGTGTGTGATAGTCAGTTAAGGTTTGTTGAATCAAACTGTACTGCTTTACAACAAACATTTCTTTAAATGTCTCCTTTTGTCCACTGTTCCCTATGGGTACTGTGGATAGACTTCAATACTTCTATCTTTGAGGGACTCTCAAAATAGTAAGGGGGTTAGAGAGGTAGTGAATTATCATTGCATGGTGTTGTAGGTGCTAAAATAGAAGGCTGTCCAGAATTTTGGGGAACATAGAACAAGCAGCATCTAACTCTGGAGACACAGATGTTTTCACAGAGCAGGAGCTATGAGAGGATGAGCAGAGTTTGTTTAGATAGACAAAATGGGAAGGAAAGAACATGAAGCAGAATAAATAGCATGTGCAGTGGTATAACTTAGTCTGAAAGAACATGACTGGTCAGGGAATTTGAAGTAGTTTGGTGTGGCTGCAGGGAAGACAGGCAGAGGCCAAGTCATGGAAGACTAGACGAATGAACTTGGATTTTTATCTTTTAGGTAGTTCATGGATAAACACTTTTTCTATTTTAGGGAAAAACAAATAAATAACACTATGACTTTGTGATATTTTAAAAAATGTGGCTAACTAAAAAGAAAAGTAGATTCAAAGAAAATTATTAGAAGGATACACTGTTGTATGTAGTAGGAACATGACAAAATCATGAAGATGACATCTGAATGGAGTTTGGGAAACACTACCGTAGAGTGTCCTTGGGCGGCTTTTAAGGGGGACAATGACAATATGTTTTAGAATATTAGATATTAGAATATTATTCCAGCAACATAGATTGGAATGGGACAAAAATGTCATAGAGGCAATGGACCAGGTGACATGAGAGCTTTTGAAGTAAGCCATGTGGTTGTGGTGTTTAACAGGAAATGAAGAAGGTATAATAGGATTTGTTGACAGGTTATGACTAGGTTATAAGGGAAAGAGAAGAGTTCATTGTGATCCTTAGTTTCTCGCATGGATTACGTAGTAAATACTATAGCTAGATTAAGGAATGCAAGGGAGTTTGGTTTGGGCCATACTGAACTTGAGATGCTGCCAAGTCAAGCCATTGAAGTAGAAATGTTTAGACA